TTTATTAATGATTGTAAATAATATAACCTGACTTACAGAATATAGATTGGAATAACAACATAAAAAAATACATACACACATTCTCGCCGCAGGCGCCGGCGGAGGCGGAAAAATCCTGTTCTGGTCCCTGGTGCCACGCCCAAAACGTTAATTTTTTGCCAAAAATATTCATAATATAAGATAAGTAGTTTTTGGCAACCCGCAACCCGGTCGAACGACCCCTAGCGACTAGCAGGGCCAGATTTAGGCACAGGCAACCGAGGCAACCGCCTAGGGCGCCACGATTAGGGGCGCCAAATTCCAAACAAATTTATTTCGAGATGTAGATTATAGGCTTGTTCTCACAGTAATCACAAACCAGTCAGAGCGTTTTCGATTGGTGCAAATCGCCAGTTTTATGACTATTTTCAACCAATGAAATTCCCTCTGGTTTGTGATTTATGTAACTTTGCAAGACGCAAAGCCAGACGGGTTCGTTTTTAGTATTGATAATTCAATTAGTTTGAGAAATTATTTTTGTATTAAGTTAATTTGAAAAATACAATTGTAGGTATTTATATACAGGTTGAGAATTCGATGACCTTTAAAATGAGGTATCGCTTGATCCCCACTGCCATTTAAGATTAAAGGGTTGGAGCTTACCCCCGCGAAATAAGGGTTGAAGTGACAACATTGAAAATATGTGCAAAATATTTCCCCCTCCGAATAAAAATCGACGGGTCCGAGCGATTTTTTTCAATGAACGATGAATACGAGATATCGACCTTGTTTCGTTTTCGCTGGCCCACCCTGTATATCTACAGTATAGATCTGGACTAGCAGACCGAATTTCATTGTTTGTAAACTATCAAAAAACTGGTTGCTGGCGATTTGCACCAATCAAAAACACTCAGACTGGTTTGTGATTTCTGTGAGAACAGACCTTATATAACTGAATATATTATAATATATGTACTTATTTGAAAAAATTAAGTTACTTCACTTACTTTTTTGTCTTAACTCCGATTAACTCTCTAAACGATAGCTTAAAATTCATTGTTTATCATATTGGTCTTTAACAATTTTGGGAGCCATTTTGACAATATAATTTGAGAAGGGGGCGCCAGAATTGAACTTTGCCTCGGCATATAAAAGCTATTGGACCGGCCCTGGCGACTAGCAGAAACAGGTATAGCAGTATGTGCTCATAAGGCGGGTGACACTCTGGGGAAATAAGTTGTATGAAACTTGTTGAAAGAAACAGGAAATTTGTTCCATTATCACACGACCACGACACATACATTCAAATAAGACGGCGCACACTGGCGAAACAATTTCTGCTCTCCTGTTCCAGGAACGCCAGTGTGATCCGCCTCATTCGAATGTATGTGACGTGTAATAATGAAACAAATTTCCTGTTTCTTCCAACAAGTTCCATGAAACTTATTTCTCCAGTGTGTCACCGGCCTAAGAAGGGCAAAGTTTCTGTTTGGGTTTGAAAGAGAAATGGAATAAAGCAAAGCAGAATTCAAAAGATAATTTTTTTTTCCCTTTTTGCCGCCCCTCTAAGTTTGCCGCCCTAAGCGACCGCCTAGTTCGCCTAATGGTTGCGCCGACCCTGACAACAGTGACTGTATTCAAAAAGAAGATGTTAGATTTGAAGAGCTAATTGGTCCAAAGCTATAATATTTATGTGGCTCAACAAACTATGTCAAGAGCAGAGCAATAGAGAAAGTATCAATGGCCATCAGGGTTCAGTTTCCTGTGACTCAAGACGTGAAAAATCTAATTGAAGCAGGATTTCTGAAAAAATTTAATTTCCCAGGTATGATAGGAGGAGCGGTCGATGGAACCCATAGTGAGTGAAATTTTTACACCACATGACGAAGAACCCTGGCTAATGACACCTAGAGAAAATGCTGCTCCAGGAACTCCAGAGTTGAATTATTGCCAAAATCACATCCAAACTCGAAATTGTATCGGTGTGTTTAAACAAAGATTTGTGTGTACTTCAAAAATGTTGAGGCATGACTCAGAAAAAGTTGGGCGCTTTGTTATTGTTTGTGGTATTTTACATAGTAATTGCTCGGAAGAGAGACTGAATGGCTCCCGAACCTTATATCCGAAGGGATAACATTCATTCACGTACCGAGGTACCATTAACCATATAATGTAACGCAGGAGTCCAAGCAAGAAACAATTTGATTCGTCGTCATTTTATTATTTATGCACTGATTTTTTGAAATGGTATTATAAAGTTTTTAACCATAATAATATATGTGTTTTATTCCGGGTTTTATTTTTAAATAATTTAATTTTTCACCCAACACCCAATACAAAGCTAGTAAATAAAAGTAATACAAAACCAAACTGGAGTAACATTTGAAAATGCGCACTTCTCACTCTCATGACAATGACGATGATATTAATATTAATAATATAATTGGAAATAGGCGTCTGCTCCAAATAAACTAATGAAAATATTAAATAAATAAGAAATAGGAATGAAATAATTGTTACTAAATATAAATTTAATATGGAATATAAAAATGAACAACAACAATTTCGCAATTGTCATTAGCTTTGTTCCAGCCCAGCAGGAAACCGTAATATTACCGTTAGGATTCTGCGCAAAACCTAAAATTTTTGCGTAGAAACCGAAATTCGTATACAGAGTGGTTCCGAAACCGTTCTGGAACGGTTTTTTGACGGGTTGGAACAAACCTATTGTCATTCATGAAACTTGACAATGCACATGCGTCAGTAGTATTCGACACGTCTCGAGATGTAGAAATGAAAATATAAAATAAATCGCGTTTTGTCGATATTCTTGACGCATAGAGTGCCAACCATGTAGAATCTTGTCGACTAATAGAATTCTATGTGACACAGAGTCCCGCTCCTGAAGTTCTTGCTAAAATCCTAGGATTGCTAGAACTGGTTCAGAAACGGTGCCGAACCGATTCTGGTTGATCCGCGAATCCAGAACCGTAACTAAAATTTCGGAATTTTGTGATCCGCGAACCCCATTAATTGAACTGCGCATGAGAAATAGTTTCGAACGAATCCTTACCGCGAACGAAGCTATTGTAAAAGTAAAAGCTGTTTACGGAACCTATGATCGGGTTAACCCGATCGCCAGCAGAAGTATTTTGTCTTTTTTCAATCGTATTCATTAAGGAAAGATAGAAAACATTCAGGTGCTGATCGGGTCAACCCGATTATAGTTTCCGTAAACGGCTAAATTGAAAAGAGTCAAAAGAGATAATGCATGCAGCATGCAGAGGGCGCCCAAAGTGCTCTTGCTTAGTTTGGTCGGATCAAAGCTCGACTCGAAGTTAATCTCTGGCTAACGAATGTTGGACGCTACGTCATCAATACTTGAACCTATCACAGACATTGCAATTTGCTGCTGCCTTTTTGCACGCGCTCTGTGTTTGACATAATTTATATGATTACTCTCGATATTTGTATTGTTGATGGTTGACAAAGAGAGATGTAACACAAGCAAAATAAATTTCCGTGCTACGACAAATGACGCGTAAAACCGTTGCATTTTTTTGGATTGTAAAATATGGATGGATTAAATTAGGCGCCTTCGGCGCCCCGGTACTCCGGCGCCCTAGACGGACGCCTAGTTCGCCACCCCCTAGTTGCGGCCCTGAAAATGCGGGAGTCGGAATATGTATACCTAATTGAAATTCCACACTTTCTAAACAAGTAGGAATCTATTAATAAATTGCAAAATTCTGTAGTATATTGTTATGTCATTTAATATACTATTAAACCTATTTTCGTGGTATGAGAGTTGCATCATAAAATAGTGTAATAAAATGAAATTTATTGATACTTAAACTATGTTTATTGTTTCAAATTTTATTTTTGAACGGCGAAATTTGCGGAGAAATCGGATATGCTTTCAAATAGCATAAATAAAATACGGGAAAGCATTGGCGGTTTCAGAGCTTCAACAAGATCCAAGACAAAAGCGCCTGCACTATTTTAGGTGTAGCCCCAAAAACCTAAGGACTGGAAAGAAATAGGTAACGTCGTCAGCAAAAAGTTATTTGAGATCTGATCTAACCCAAAAGGTCAGGAAAGAGAGGTTCAACCTCGCAAACTCGACACAGGTTTTGTTCTATTTTTTTTTTCTGGCAGGACAAAGGCTGCTTATGATGGATCTTACTTTTTCCAACAAAATTTCACCCTGGAACATCCCCTTCATCCCCCTAAAGGTCGTTTTTTGTGGTTTTTCCAAAACATAGCGCTTCCGCTACGTTTTACAAAAAAATACCTTGATAGTAAAGCGAAGAGGACTAAATTCTCTACAATCTGTCCAGCGACAGCATATGTCTATCACCTACCCTTTAGTCGGGGTGGCGCTCTAAAGTTGAATGACCTTGAAAACCGATGTTTTGGATTTTTTTTTCACTGAATAGTAAAGGGAATCCACCACAAACCGTGGAGCAAATACTCATGAATAATTGGCCAATTTTTTGGTATATGTTTTATTTAAAAACAAATACCCGTTCAAGATATACAGGGTGTTGAAATTTAAACAACCCCCTTTCATATCATCTGAAGAACTAATGCTAGGCTGTTCAAATTTTCAGGGATTATGGATGTAGGGATGGTATTGAAAACTTCGTATAATGCACCCCTATTTCCTACATGGAACCGCCCAAAAGAAAAAAAAAAAATGCCTTTTTTTTCATTTTCTCGTATACAATGGCCTCCATGTGAATGGGTGATAAACATATGCTGTCACTGGATAAATTGTAGAGAATTTAGTCCTCTTTAATTTACTATGAAGGTATTTTTTTGTAAAACGTAGCGAAAGCGATACGTGTCGGAAAAACCACAAAAAACGACCTTAAGGGGGATAAAAGGGGATTTTCCAGGGTGAAATTTTATTGGAAAAAGTTAGACTCATAATAAGCTGCCCTTGTCCTACCAGAAAAAAAAATAGAACAGAACTTGTGTCGAGTTTGCGAGGTTTAACCTCTCTTTCCTGGCCTAGAAGCTACAAAATAATAACCCAGAAGTTTCTTTTGGAAGTACATAAATTCCTATTGCAATTCGTTTATTGAAATATATACAATCAAAAATAAACAATTACAATATTGTGGTATAAAAGTAATCTATGTACGCACAAATAGGTACCTACATGTACATATTTTCTTCCATCTCACGGTGATAATTAATCATCGCCACCAGTCATGACTTCCATAAATTCTGCAAAAAATAGAATTTTTTTCTCAATTTATAAGTGAATATTGTTCCACTTACCATCAAAGTCCACAGTTCCTGAGCCGTCAGTATCAATTTCAGCAATCATCATATCCAATTCATCATTAGTCAGTTTGTCGTCTAGTTCTTTCAAAATTTCTTTAAGGATTTTTGTTGAAATGTAACCATTACCTAGAAAACCCCATGTTCAAATATAACGTTGATATCTTATTCTTAATTATCCGTAAAAATACATTAATGCACGCCCACCAAGTGGTATGAATTAAGCAGTATTTATTTATATGCATGTCTACACGTCAACTCTGAAAAATAAACCATTCTAACACCTAATGATTTATTTGGCACCGATTCTATATTTCACCGCTACAAAATATCTATAAAACCTGACTTTTTTATATTTGTGATTTTTTTGAGAGCTGGATATAGACATGAATAAATTAGTTCTGATGTTAAAATTATATGATGAATTTAAGTTTAAATATTTGATAGTAAATAAAAATCGCCTTTAAAACAGATGAAACTCTTTTATATTATGAAAGAAAAAAAATGAATAAGATTCTAGCTTGTGCCAAATTTGATTACCAAATACATAGAAATATTTACCTTCTTTGTCATATAAACGGAAAGCTTCCTTTAATTCTTGTTGCATAGCTTCCGCATCTTCTTCAACCATAAACTTAGCTGCTAGAGTTACGAATTCCTCAAACTCCAGTTCACCAGAACCGTCGGTATCTACTTCAGCAATAATTTCATTTAGTATTTGTTCGGTTGTTGTGATACCCAACATTGTGAAGATGGTTCGCACCATTTGAGTGCCGATACTGCCTTTTTTCTCCACATCGAAGGTGTCAAAAGCTTTCTTGAGAACTGAAAAAAAATTAAATAACGATATGCAAAAGATTTATGAGTTGATTAATTTTCCAAGCGTTCTTATTATTTAAAGTCGCAAAATTTATTATTTTCGAGCATCCAACTTTGGCTAGGTAACCGAGATAAAAGTTGAAGGTGTTAACGAAGGTACCTAGTCGTTCGCCTAATTTGCTCAACAATTTCAATCTGTGGATTCAATGGCACGAAAACCAATCTGAACATTTAAGTTTAAGCAAGTTGAAACTCGAGTCCAGACTTGGTTGATTAGGTCGTTTGATCCATGATTGGAACTTAATTCAAACAAACCATTCAGTAAAAATGCATAATGAACAGAATGACTCAGTTCATTTTTATCTCACAACAATTTTATCTTGAAATTTAGCTCCAGTTGTCAGAATGTTATAAAAGCTTTGAAAAAAAGCATTAAATTCTACCAAAGGTTAGTTGAGCAGTGTAAAAGTATCGAGTTTGAGGGCAAATTAACAACTAAGTATATTAGAAAATTTAAAATTATTTATCAAGAGATGAATTATCACAAGAAATTTAGTTCGTGATTATTCTAACTCAGCAATAAAACAAAATTGAAAAGTTATCCTTATTTAAGAAAATAGATATTTGAAATAAAAAACCAGGTACTCACGGGCAGTTTGCTCTTTATCCAATTCGTCCTGCAAAGTAAAAAAAGAAAACTATTTAACAAAAAAAAAAAAAAACAGATAGTTTATTGCTGAACGTACCGTCATTCTGGATATTACTGGCGGTTACCCTTATCGAAACGTAACTGACACAAAATTTGAAAATTTTCTATGAAAATTACGCTTGAACTATATAAAACTGACGGAATCTTAAAATAGAAGGCGGACAGCTCTACTCCACAACGATTTTTTAATTTCCAGTAAAAACAGCTGTTGATTGTTTGAGTTCTCCACAGACGCGGATTTCGGTCTTTTGTTTCGAATTTTTAAACATGATAAATCTACTTTAACTAGCCTCTATTAGCTAGAAATTTTCTAGCACAAATTAACCCGCCTCCTTCAACCCCCAACGCTCCAGAGGGCTCTTATAAAAATCACGAATGTGAGAATGTAAAGCGACACTTTCATTATTGAATAATGCCGTTTTGGAAGTTATAGTTTTTTCCAAGAAAAAGTATTAATTGTAATCTAACAATGCCAAAACTTCAATCAACTTGAGTCAAATTTTTACTTTTTGATTTTATTCTCAAGGCTATAAATTTCTTGGTGAAAAGTTCTTCACTTTCTTCTTTAATTGCATTCTTGTCTTCGGTCTTCCTTATGAGACAAGGGTCTCCTCAGCAAACTTCCATCTTATGGTCTTCCAAACCAATTTTTTCATTGACTGGGGTGCTTTTTGGAAGGGAGACGTAACTACATGTTGTGGTTGATGGTATGTTTTCTGATACACTGCCTATACTTAAAGGCCAGCGTTCCTCAATGCTCAATTCTCTCCCCAACATCGTTTCTCATTTTTATGAATGAATTGGTAAATATGACAAGAAACCCCATATACAGCATTGCGGACGATAGTAGCTTGATGGCATCTTTCTCCTCTAACAAACGCCTCGCCCGAGAACAGATTCACTCTATCAACATTGATCAACAGTATTCTCAAATAAAATTCTCCGTCGATGATAACCCAGTTTTAAAGATGTCGGGACTTTTCTATCAGTCCCTCAGTATTTCTGCTTGGGGTGACCGCATCGATCAACTTGTCTTGGTATGACCATGTAGATTCGATCACCAAAACTGCTCCTCAAGAATTAGGTTTTCTATTCCGTGCAAAAATCTTCTTTACTTCTTAACAAATTCTTCTCCTTTATAGGAATGTACAATTTGTAGGGAAAAACTTCTATAACAGGTCTTAAGTTACACGTCTCTGAAAGCCATAGTGTTTTATCGAAGGTATATCTTGTAATGTTGACCAAACCATGATTGATACATCAGAAGATTTAAATCAACATACCACTAAATGTGGCCTGCCTTATAATTCCTTTAATGGGTCATTTCACGAAGATAATATGCCCATACTTTCTTCGCACCCAGCAAATCACACGCTCAATCATCCCTGTTCCAGTTGTGGACAAGTATTCATAAGATTAAGTAAGATAGTAAAACATCGAAATAGTGAAAAATTTATCAGACAAACGGCAGCGCTTTAAAGATATGGTCCCACTCAATCACAACCAACTTGTTCTAATACTGAAGCTCTCCAAACCAGGCCATATTCTATATCATCATATGGTAAGATACGAATTATGAGACGTATTCTGCGTAGTGTTCGTCCTCAAGTAGCCGAAGCACTGGCAGTTATTCTGGAGAATTGTGTCAAAACCAATAGTGACGAGTCTTGGCATAAACTTTTTTCTTTTCCCCGTAACGTACTTAGTTTGCCGCACAATAATTCTGGCAATAGTGCGCATATTATGTCAGGAAATGCTGCTTTTCGGTCTTCTGCAGAATCATATACTAATGCATTGGAACGCAGAGTCGGTGCCAAACTAGTCGATGGTGACATTATAGGTGCTATACGTGTTCTCTCTTCTCAAGACTATTGCACCTAACACTACTGCTACACTGGAGAAGCTACGTGCAATACCTCCTGATGAACCAGATGGTGCTTCATTCCCGTTAGAAATGACATCAGTCGAGTTTCCTAATTCTGTCAATAATGGCGAGGTTCGTCGTGCAATTTATTCATTCAAACATGGTTTTGCTGGCGCTTTTGATGGTTTACGGCCTCAACATATAATAGACTTGACTTCGAATGGAAATAACAACTCTTCTGCGCACTTGTTATCCGCTATTGGTAATGTAGTCGATTTAATGATCCCAGGGAAAGTTTGTGACAGTATTTGTAGCCTACTCTACGAAGCTACAATTTGCGCTCTTATGAAAAAAGATGCTGGAATTAGGCCAATAGCAATCGGAAATACTATACTTAAGAAGAATTGCTGGAAAAGTTGTCTGCAATCGTGTTCAATGTTCAGTTGGATCTAAACTTCGCTCCTTTCAATTGAGCTATGGTAGCAAAGGTGGCGCTGAGGCTATGGTTCATACGGCGCGTTCTTTTATAAACGAGAAAGATAACGTAGAATGTCGTGTTTTTCTGAAACTAGATTTTCGGAATGCTTTTAGCTGTGTCAGCAGACCTCAACTCCTGAAAATGGTACAGGAATTTATTCCTGAGTATTATCAATTTTTCTGGCAACAATATCGCTACCCTTCTCAATTAGGATACCTTGAACACACCATCGATTCTGCTTGGGGATTCCAACAAGGTGATTCAGTTGCACCTCTAGGATTCTGCATTGCTATAGCACCTTTAACGCAACGATTAAATTCTGCTCTGGTTTTCTGGTATTTGGCCGATGCTGTATTGGGTGGAGCTCTAGACACCGTTCTTCAAGATATTAAAACTATTGCCTCAGCAAAAGACGAATATGGCTTGGAATTGAACTGGGGAAAATGTGAAGCTTTCATATATGGTGGTTCTTCTTTGAATCGTCGTCGAATCGAAGAAGAATTTAAAGGTTTTTCGGCGGACATAAAATTTATGACAAAGGAAGATTTGCCTCTGCTAGGTAGTCCTTTGACTGATGAAGCTGCACTGAGTTTCATCGCAAAGAAAATTGATGAACTCGCTCTCATGACTTCTCGTTTGAACGCTATTCCTTTTCAACACGCCTTAAGTCATTGTTATAGCATTCCAAAGTTAATTTATATACTTCGCACTTATCCATCTTTTCGCCAGATAGATTCACTACGAGCTTTCGATGATCAATTAAGACTCGCTGTTGAAACGATTACATGTTGCTAGTCTACCTGTAAAGTTGGCTGGTTTGGGAATACGTTCCGCGGAAGTACTAGCAGTTCCTGCCTTTTTGGCATCGGTTTATTCCGTGGCTGATCTTCTCGCCGTGCTAACAAGAAATATAGCACCTTTCAATATATGTAGTTTTTTACTCAGCAGAAGCTTTGGAATTGTGGAAAGATAAATCCGGTCTTGATGTACCTAAATTTGTTGAACGTAAGCTACAAAAGACTTGGGACCATCCTATAAACGTTAAGAAAACGATCTCAAGATCATCTTCTACAAAATCTTTCAACAAGATCTATCATAACTCTGATCTGGTTCTCAAGAAAACCTACCTATTTAATACCCACCGAATTGCCTGTCACAAAAAATCGACAAACGCTATTAGATAAAAAAAAAGAACCATAATGGGATGCTAAAGCGACGATGAGTTTGTAATTTTATTTGTTCTCAATTATTTTATTGCAATATGAAGTGCATGATTTCACTTGTCCTCCAACTAACTTTTGGTACATATACCCACAAGTGACAACCATTACATATTTCTTAATGAAATGGATAGTCGTTCTACAAATTTTACTACCATATTCTTCATTTTGCGAGATCATGATAGCGCCACCTGAAAGTTCTTGACTTTCCTCATCCAGATAGGTGGGTATTAACACAGAAAGGCAAACCAAAGAAATTGAGAATAGTATATTATTCTATAACAAGTATAGAATAAGCAAAATTCTACACGAGAGGTTTGTTTCCCGAGCCTGAGGCGAGGGGAACGGCTATACGAGTGTAGAATTTTGAATTACACACGTGTTAAGTTGTTTTAGACTATACTTTTTCCACGACTATCAAATGAAAGAACGGTAACAACCATGTGACATAAACATTGAACACATGTCATTTCATATTTTTAACAATTAGGCAATTCAAACCACGTGACACTCAAGATGGCGTGGCGGCCACACATGGGCCAAAAAACACAAAAAAAAATCTAGTTTCTGCCCGATTTAATAGTTTAGGTACCTAGTCAACAAATATCGTATTAAATAATCAAAATCAAAGTTACAAGCAAAACTCTAAGCAAAATAATTTAAAATACACATTAAAACATATTCAAAACAAGCTTGCTTGGCCGCCACGCCATATTGAATTTTCCTTTTTGACAGATGGATTAAATTGCCTTATAGCTGAGTTCGGTATTTGTATCGCAGACGTGACATATTTTTGGTCACATGATCACAAATTATTCTGAGCAAATGGCAATTAACGAAAGCCCGACCAAATGGACAAACTTCTAGCCTCGCTTTTACCGGCGCTTTTCTTTTACGATTTGTTTGCTTGTTTGGTATTTTGAAGTGATTCTTTTTCATTGTTTAAGGCTATGCCTATCCATCTGGCAATTTTGATAGCTATTCATGGTCATCGAATGATTTTTGATGATGATGCCGACGATAACAAAGAAGCAGGTGGTTCTACAAAGGTTGAAAGGTATGCAGGAGAAATCGTGTCACGTTTTTCTGAGATGCAGTTCAAGAAACACTTTCGAATGGTTTCAGCAACTTTTGAAGATTTTTTACAAAAGCTTTATGATGTCAGCCGTAAAAATGTAGAAAATTGAATTGGACATCCGGCAATGATATTTGAAACTCATTTCCGGGAAATTCTGCAGAAAAGTGTCTGATTAGGTGCTCAAAGTTAAATTTTTGTACAAAAAATAAACACTGTGTTGACACTTCGAGACTACGACATAACCTCACAATCGCAGATAAATCTCTTTCGTCGGTCTAAATACTCCGAGCAAACAGATTTACGTCCGACTGCTCTGAGCGGAATTAACGCACGGTTCAGATTTGCCTCCCCTTCATCTAGATGCAATAAACGAAGATTTAAATCGAAAAGCTTGATAAGACGCTAATACCGAATGCAGCAGAAATGTTGTTGCGTTTTCTATTTTCTATATTTTCTATTTTCTATATTTTTTCGTCAAAAAGGCTGCAAATTAAAATTGTGCTGCATTCCTTGGTCTAGCAATAATTAATACAAACCGTCGATATTAGTCATTTACTGGCTTTTTATAGTATTTTTGAGGTTTTCAGTATTTCTGAAGTTTCTCTCCTTCTGTGTTTTCAGCTGCGACTCTAGCTGGCGTCGCAGATAATCATTCCATAACAAGTGACGGAATAAGTATTCTTTCACTAGTGATGGAATGAAGCTATTCCATAATCAAAAACTAAGTAGGAATGGACCAATTCTTTAGTAGTAGAAAACATATATTTTTAATTATCTATTCAGGCTGTTCTCTAACTATTAAATGCCCTAATACTCGATTTTGGAGTACTTGAACTAAAATTTATTTTTGAGAAATTCAGATACAACGCTACGTGTTGTTGCAACAGCGACTATGAGACTCTCGCATTAAGAGGGGTAAATTTCATTGGCACTGGGTATTTTTTGCAATTACTGTCGTTGTCAAGGCTGTGGTAGGAGTTTCTTAAAACTTTTGTCATTCTAAAGGTTGTATCAACAAGAACATTTCTGTCTGTCAAGCGTCAAGTTGGCCATATTGGGCATGTGTTCGGAGAAAACATTGACATTTACCAAAATGCCGCGTTACACTCTTGAGGATTGTTTATTAATTATTGTAAAAACAGAAATGGAGGAAACTTTACAGTGATAATGCGCTTTACTTTACAGTGATAATCGTCCGTCGCGGCCCACTGTTGAAAATTTGATCAACAACACTTCCGTCCTGCATCGCGACCAGGAATTAAACATTGCAGTACGCTACAACGAATTTTGGAAAAGGATTTGCATCTTCTTGTCTACAAAATACAGTTGACCCGAGAGCTGAAAACAAGTGCGCCTCATCGCTGAAGATTATTTTGTTCTGGAATGCCTCGTCAACTTTGTAGATATTCTAATATCCAATTGGCAAAGTTACTGCTCTGTTTATGATCGGCTGGCCTACCATAGTTTTAATATACCTATGGGAAGATGCGTAATCAATCAGCATATGTATATGGAGCCTCTCTCCAAACATTTCGATGCCTCTATGTTGGTATATTTACGCTAGGATTATCCACTCTATCAATATAGATTCATGAATTTTTCCCGATTTCGTCGCCGTTATCGTCGAATATGAGTTCCGAGGAGAAGGGTGATTTTTAACCTATATGACGTTCCGTTCTTTGTTGACAATCTGCTTGCTGCGAGGGGTACTATCATCGACATTGGACACACAAATCACAAAACAAGAAATCAATGGTCATGTCCATTCTTCGACAGTAACTTCAGCACGAAAATCAAGTTTATAAATGCTTGTTAACGTTATGCACAGTTCAAGTTGGAAGGTAACGCGAACCTTAGGGACAAGAAACTCCCGAGTGACAAATGCAATTTCCCATATCCAACTCTACGGTTGTCATATCTGTCTTAATCCAACGTAAATATTGCGCAATTGTTGTGTTCCGCTTATTTTCTGCAGTTCGATGCTTTTTTCCATCGAGCTCTTCACGTAATCCCATTTACTCTTTATCGGTGTTATTATGCCATCTTCTTTCAAATTCCGTCGGAAATGACGTGTGTATCTAGGGCAATCAGAAACGCACAAGCAAGCGCACAAGGCACAATGAGGATTCAAGACACAAGTGATAAGATTACACCATCGCAGGTGAATCGATGCTGTAACCCACAATGATGTGTTACAGGATACAAAGAAATTACAAATTGCAAAGAAAACAGATACCCTTACTTAATTTTTTAAATCCAAAATTACTTATAAAACAGATACAGGTATTCAAAAATTGTTTCTTTTATCTTTTCAACGAGATACGTGAGACTTATGTGTTTGTAAGAATGGATCAAGAAACTGAACTTGAAGTGTATGACTTTGAATTATCCGAAAGTGAAAGTGGAAGCCTTTTACAGAACAGACCGATAATGAATTGCTAGAGCGAACTTAGTTCGAGTTTAGCCCAGGATATATTATTACAATTGGTTCACTGTTACTACATGGTCTCAGCATTTTCTAGAGTTGGTGAAAACGAGAAATATCCATTCGAGTATATCGAAAAAAACGTTCCTCGTCATTTTACAATTCTTGGAAGAAGGTCCGGAAATCTTCCCTCATCTTCTCTTCTTTCTTAACCTCAATGCAATGAATAGGGCAGTAAATATTATTTTAACAGTTGAAATAACTTCCTATCGATTTTATTGTAACTAAAAACAAACAAAAGCATAAAAAGTCAGGTGAGGTTAATCTTTCCCTTACTGCCCTCCCAAATTCACAATTTTTTATTGCTATAGATACTAGAAACAAGAATACAATTGTGTTTTGAGCAGCCTCAAAGTAAATGTCTTGTGTGAAAACTGGCAGGCACGGCACGTGTTTCACTATGAAATTTCACCGCAAATTTTCTAAAAATACTTGTTTCGAACAAAATCAATCAGGTATTGTAGTCAGTTTTAAATTTAACAAAATACGAATTTTAAGTTAAAAATTCTAAGTTTTTCAAGATCAAGCAAAATATAATCTATGCTTTTTTTACGAAAACCCATCATCATATAAAATAACACATTATAGCTAGCAAATTTAAGAATTAAGAAGGATATCCATTCACACAATTAAAGAATATGTTGCTAGCAAAAAAGCTAAAAATTATTCAATTAAACTTCTCTCAGATTTTCGAATATATTCTTAAATATTTCATTTCAATCCGGGCCTGTTTCTACCTATAAACAATGAGAGTAATTTATCAGATATCATACAGAGGCAGCATTCACGTAGGTCGACCCCGGAAAATTTTATACCCGTTTTCGCCTCTGGATAGCTGCCAAGTATACATCCGATTGGATTAAAAGTTTCTGCGAGTTAAATTAAATTTTAAACCACTGTAAAGTATGCACGATAATAGGTTTGCTCGTTTATGCTCCACTTACTTAATGCGATATTTGTTTCTTTTTCTTTGGTGCAGCATAAAAAAGAGATGAACAGATGCTCTTATCAAACCGAATAGAAGTAATGTAGTGTAAAAGTTGCTGCTTTGTATTTTTGTCTGGGATCAAATATCGTGGCAGTTTTATTGGCCGCGAATTATTCAAGTTAAGTAACAGTAAATAAACAAAAAAATATTTAATGAACTCGTACTCAATTTGTTAGTCTGGTAATGAAGACTGACTTTTCGTTGTTCTAAAAATGCATTAGGAATCTCCTTTTTTTTTCAAAAATTTTATTTAGCTGCACAATAAAATAAATCAAAATCTTGGAAATTAGTGCGTTTAATATATTTGAAAAATTTATTCTCCTTCAGAATAATTAAATTAACACGTTTTAGGGAAAAATCCTGTTTTATTTCTATTTAACTTACTATTCTAAATATACAGAGGATAAGGTACATTCAAACTATTACCTAAAGGAAAAAACACATTACATAATTAGAGTAAAAAACGAGCATGCATGATAGTGAGAAAATATGACAAAATAAATGCTTTTCAACCAATCATCACTGCTTTGAACTCTGTAATAAAAAAGACACAGAAATTAAATTTTTGAAACAAATGCAATATGACTTAAAACCATACCATCCCAATCAACAGTTCCCGAACCATCAGAATCAATTTCATCAATCATATTATCCAGATCGTCATCAGTCAATTTCTCATCCAATTCTTGCAATATTTCTCTCAAGACTTCAATAGTTATGAAGCCATTACCGTCTCTATCGTACATCCTAAATGCCCCCTTCAGTTCCATTTGTATGGCGTCAGTATCTTCTTCCTCTTCAATTAAAAATCTAGCAGCTAAATTTGCGAATTCTTCGAAACTCACTTCACCGTTGCCGTCTTCATCTATTTCTTCGATTATAGCCTTCGAAAAATTTGGAGATAAGAATTTTTTCTCAATTACTGTACAAAAACTGGGAAATGAACTTGAGACAGAAATGAAAGTTTGCAGCTATTGAATAAAAATTCGTTTTTGGCGTAATTCTACGACATAATTATTTGTTAGCTAATACTTGAAATTCGATAAGCACGTTTTGTGACGCAATAATTAATTTTGACTCAATAGTGACACAAAACATGCACTTGCATATTCAAATTTTCAAAAAATAAAAAAAATCCCACAAGATGAGAACTTTATAAATGGCACTGTATATGTATTAACCTAGGTAAAGAGTTTCATTTCTATCTGGGCATAAATTTAATTTCTTAATTTCAGACAGTGATCAATACTGTCCGCTTCGATTGTGATATACGAAATAAACCTTTTTTCTACGGGGACAAAAAAAATTACGTACATCTAGCTCGTCTCCAACAAGTTGAGTTCCCAACATATCCATTATAGTTCCAATCATTTCTGTAGAAATGAAGCCTTTTTTGTCTACATCGAATGCATCAAATGTGGATTTAAGCACTAAAAATTAATTTCAGAAAGAAACTCAGCAAATCTGTAATAAATTAGTACTTACTAGAAAGTTGCTCCTTATCCAAATCATCCTGTAACAAATAACGATTTTCCTTAATTTTCATCAACGCAAATAAGACACTTACCATATTCACAATACCACATTCATCCACGCTTTCAACAAAAGACATAACTTTCTGCAGAGAAAGCTTTCTACCGCTCATGTTTATTTTCTCGTGTGTACTTCGGGAGGGGATCTAAATAGAACACAGTGACTTCTTGATTTTATTTGTTTTAGTGGCATCCTAACATTGCCAATCATTTATTTATGGATCTGGAGTACCTACTTATTTGTTCTTTCGGTCCTTGTTTCTGCCTCACGTGATACAGGATCGTATTAATTGGCCCGGTGCGAAGCATAACAGAGATCTAATATTGGAAAACTCAAGCCTATATGAATTTAAAAAAATATATAACCTACCTTAGAAAAAATGGGCTCATCCAAAATAAATTCAACGTTTTTTTCCATACACAACATATGTCGGCTACATAGAAATCTATTTCATTATTATACTTAAAAATAGTTACTTTTCATCAGAATTTCTGCATGGTCTAAAACCTAAAATGCCGTAATCAGATACACAATATCAATGTATTATATTATCAAAATACATAAATTTTGTTCAAAAGTATCCGAAATTTTATATGTTTTCTAAGACAAAAGTTATAATCCGAATCTGTCAAATATTGTTGATTGTAACTTCAGGGTCAAGATATGTGAAATAATGTGGAAAGTAGAAGAAAGGAAAGTGGTGGAATATTTGTATAGAAAATGTGTTCGAAATGTTAGAGAATTTTTGCAGCTAACTAAACTCGCAATAAGCGCACTAGATGAGACAATAAAGAGGATGAAAAATGATACAAATATGAGGTAGGTATCTATAGGCCTTTTTGGGGAATGGTGCGTTAGATTCGTGGAAACCATTTAAAGTGCATTTTGTGGCCTTAGAACAACAACAAAATCCGCGTCTGGGGCTTCGAAAATTGGCAACAGGTTTGGAAAACAACAAAAATGAAAACGTGTCAAGAATAGGGCTTCGGGAGATCACAAAACTAGTCAGGTCTTCGTAACAAAACCAAGACCAAGACCAAGACTTAACGTTCAAAAAAAAGACCAACACTCTATCTCGAAACTCTCGTCTTGGTCTTGGTCTTGAAAAGAAAAATCGACTTAATATTCATTAAAACCTGCAAATTTCTATGTCTTCCTTCAATAAGTCTTTTAATTAGATAAATCAATTCTTCAAATTTATTATTGCAAATTTCCAGTTTATAAGGTAGATAGGTATAGTAGTGCGAGCGGCCGGTGGGGACAAACGACATTTCGTATTAAAATTATGCCACTTCGTATACATGTTGTCTAGACTTATTGGAGGGATTTGAGTCGCAGAGCCGGAAGTTCCGTCCCTTAGGATTAAAAATGGCGCGAATTTTTAAAACTTAAGCATATTTCAGGCAATATTATATTTTTAAAAGCGATTTTTACGTTAAGGGTGTCGTTTTCGGGGTTTCCGAGGGTGAAAATGACAAAAATAATATCCGAAATTAATTTCTGTATGAGGAGCATGCTTGATTTCTCATATCTAGGCCGATTTTATGGTATCTTTAACGTCCGACAAGATTCAGAAGTTTTCACCGACTTTCGTAGTGGTGGCGTTTCCGGTCTTCTTTTGGGTGAGGATCACGTAGAAAGACTCGATCTAGATCTTTTTTTGAATTGTTATGTATCTTGAATAAACAAGTGGAGATAAAATAAGTACAAAACTGGAAGTTATTTATTGATTCATGCTTATAACTAAAAATGGCGAATGCTTCGGATGCTGCACCGTTGGACGAGAAGAAATTCCATCCATAGAACCATCCAGCTTACGTGCGTTCGTAAAACCTCTAAGTTGGATGAGGTGCTTGCTTTGACTGAGAATTCTATCAACTGAAGCACCCAGAATTAAGGGGGTTACAATAGATCTATGCAGGTCGCAGTGTAACAATTCCCCTAATTCATTCATTCATTCAAATATTGTGAATTATTGGAAGGATTTTTACAAGTAAATAGTCATAAGTCATCACCGGTCAGCTTATTCTGTAACTTGCGACCGCAGATAATTGTGAAATTGTCACTGTCAAGTCGCTGTCAAACGCGAGTTTTCTATTCTAAAAAAGCAACTTGCGACCGGTTGCTGGTTGATATGTAATTGCTGTTCGTAGAGAATAGGCCTGCGAGAAATGCTTCATCATCGCTAACATCTGTTGCAGCCGAGCGATGAAAAAAATATCTAGTAAAGATTACTACAAATAAAACGCTGACAGTCATGTCTATAATGAGCATGCCGAAAACGGGTTGTCTGAGGCTGGGTCAATTCCTCTCGTGGAACACCCAGAAGTCAGACCAGTCCATTTCTGTACATATTTGTTAGGTTCGCACATCGCCACGTCAACGCCAGTTACTGGTTTAGTCTCTGTCACTTGTCTTGTACATTTATTATACAGATGCTGAAGACAGCGCAGATGGTATTCCAGTTCCTGAACGAAAATATCGCCGGCACTTAGAGTTGCTAAAAATTTGGAATCTTGTAATATTTGGGCACAATCCTGACTTTTTGTAAAACTTTATCACCACATGCATTATGAAGAGGTGCTTTCCATACATTTTCCCTCTTCCAAGCAAAGAAAACATTTGATGCATTTCGGTGCTGCGAGTGGCACTGACGATTGAGTGACATGAGTTTTTCTATTTTCACCAGTGGAATTTTGCCTATTATTAGCATTTGCGACTGCCTCTGCAGGGTTTTTTCTCTAGTCAAGACAATTTTTCTCCACTGTACTGAGATCTGCAATTCTGGTGATACTTTGCAATGTTCTCAAAGTCTGCGAGATACCAGTACCACCATCAAGATTATCTACTCACTTCCATTCTAGATGGTGAAACATGCTCTTATGCCCTCAGGTCCTGCAGAGTTTCAGATATATAACCTGAATCTCTCTGTTCGGGGTTTGAGTTGCTAGCTGGGCACATAAGGCCCACTCTATCTTTTGACTGACAGGCAGCATAATGACCAATCTAAATCATGCACTACTACCTTTACGTCTTTTCGTCTCTTCGGCATTGTCTGCTACTCCACCACATCTAACTAAAATTGAAGGACATTGAATTTTTATGTAAGTCAAACTCCAAAATAACTAAAGGAATGCAAGGTTAGAATTGAACCAAAAAATGGACCAACAGTACGATAAGTAGATAATGCCCAGCAATTTTAACAATTTGAAATTAGGGCAGTACACTGAGGACGTAAGAATCGTCACCTAACCTCCAAAGAGAACACTGATTAAGTTATAAATATTGAAGAGTATCCTTTACGAGAAAGACACGCCGCAAAACCGCACTGCTATTTTATTCGTGATAAAGATTATTACGTCGTACTGGTCGTACTCACGTTCTCTAAATGAATACGTAATTTCACCGCACAATAAACACATAATAAACTGTCGCCATGCACACTATGCTTTTGTTCCGATTGAATTTAAAATTAATGTTGAAATATCGTGAAATAAACACTTCAGTGGCTTTCTACATGATGTTTACTTTAAAAAAACTCTGAAAACGCCATCTCAACTACAAAATTAGATAAAACCTTTCGAATCTTGTCAGACAGTAAAGATATCATAAAATGGGCCTAGATATGAGAATTTAAGCATGATCCTCACACATAAATTAATTTTCGATATTATTTTTTTCATTTTCACCCTCGGAAACCTCGAAAACGACACCCCAAAACGTAAAAATTGCGCTCTAAAAAAAATTGCCTGGAATTCGCCTCAATTTTCAAAGTTGACGCCATTTTCAATCCTAAGGGACGAAACTTCCGGCTCTGCGAATCAAATCACTCCAATAGGTCTAGGGAACATGAGTGTACGACGTGGCACAATTTTAATATGAAATGCCGAATAACCAGCATTTCTCACGAGCCGCTCCCACTATAGGTTACCTTTGAAAATACAAGATAGTAGCAAAGTCTATAGTAGGTAGATAATATTTATTTATACAAAACATTTTCAAGGTACCTATCATGGATATTACGTACAATGATATTACATAGGTACATATTTGCTTGTTTCAGAAGAAAAATGTTATAACATAAAATTTACACAAAAAAATCGATTTATATAAATATACAGGGTGTCCCACAATCAGCGTTACAGGCCATGACTTTTTTATTTTTAGAAATCAAAATTTGAAACCAAAAAAAAAAAAACGATTAATGGTAAGTTAAGCTCTCTTCAAAAATATGAAAAAAATATTTTCCTGACAAAATCATTCCCTAAATACTACCGTTGACTTTTTTTTCAAATGGCACCCCTATTATTTTTTATTTTTTATTTTTGTGAAGCTCATGAAATTGCAAATTTAATGGTGTATGGAAAGTTTGCATTTTGACAGCCTATTTGGACAAGACTTGTGCTTACCTAACCTCACTTTGTCCTGCATAACCCGTGTTTATTATTTATTGATCATAGAAAAAGTATAGTATTCTACTAGTGAGTATTGGTATTAATCACTCTGATAATGACACTACTCGCCTGCGGCTCGTAGTGCAAACTTCATCCTTGGCGAGTAATAGCCCTCATTACCTGCTCGTTGAATAATATACTATTTTTCATGTCTCTTGGGGAAAAAAAATAGGTGTCCCACAATTAGCCTTATACAGGGATCATACTTTTTTTATCTACAAAGATACAAATACGACAAAAAAAAATTGATAGTGTGCAAATTAACCCCTTTTCAAATAATATAAAAAAAATCTTCCCGAACAAACTAATCCCTTAAAAACAACTTTTGCTTTTTTTTTCAAATAGAATTCCATTATTTTTATTTTCATTTTTGAATTTTTTTTTTCCAACGAAACATGGAAAAACAAAGTTTTTATACATCATTGACTTTACAATTTCATGAGCTACTCAAAAATAAAAAAATAAATAATATCGGTGCCATTTGAAAAAAAAAGTCGAGAATTGTTAGTAGAGGATGATTTTGTCAGGGGAAGATTTTTTATATTTTTGCTTGAGCTTAAAAAGCCATTAATAATTTTTTTTGTTTCAAATTTTTATATCTAAAAATAAGAAAGTTTTGGCCTGTGCGCTGATTGTGGTGTGTGTATTCAAAACAAAACCTTGGAACAAAAACAAAATAATAATTATCTTTTCTAATCTATTGAGATTACAATCGTGTGATTTACAAAAATCAAGAAATATTCTGTGTGAAGATCCCAGAAGAGGCCCATAAATTCTAGGGATTTAAAAAGTAAAAAACGGGAATCTAGGAAAAATTGTTTTGACGTAAAAATCTAATCTAACAATTATTATACGAAGCCCCTTTTTTCAGTTATCTTTAACAGATGCGGCCCGAATAAACTAAATTACGCAACCGGAAGTGACACAAGATTTCTTGACCTACTTTTATATGAACTCATAAATCTAAACAGCAAACGACATTAATTACAAGGTTAACTTGTTTAATTGTGTACACGCGCTGTCGGCATTTTTGAACAGCGGAAACGGAAACAA